GTTAAAGCCTATCTCTTCCCCATTGAATAGACTTCAACCCTTTGTCAAAGATCAGCTATCCATAGCTGGATGAATTTATTTCTGGATTCTTAATTCTATTCCATTGGTCTGAGCATTTGTGAGTGTGCCAGTAACAGGTTATTTTGACTACTGTGGCTGTGTAGTAGGTTCTAAGGTTGGGAAGTGTGAAGCCTCCTACTTTGTTGTTCTTTGATAAAGCTTTAGCTATCCTTTCCTTTCCACATAAAGTTGGTGATTGGTTTTTCCATTTTGTTAAAGAATGTAGTTGGAACTTGGATCAGGATTGTATTCTATCTGGAGATTGTTTTGGGTAGTGTGGTAGTTAAGGTTATATGTCAATTTGGCTGGGCCTGGTTCTGAGTGGCTGGGCAGCTGGATGTAGTTTTTCCCCAAGGTGAGCTTGGTAATCAACTCCATGGTGGAAGCTACTGGAGCAGCTGAGTAGCTGCTTTAGGGATGTGGGCTGCTTCCTGTATATAAGAAGCAACTAGCTTTTGGCATGCTTGAATCCTGCATGTAGCTGAGTCTTCAGTTAGCAGCCTGCCATGTTGTCTGCCCATCTTGGGACTCTTAATGGACTTGAATCAGTGGCCTGAAGTATGGTTTGGTAATATTGGGACTGTGCCTTTTTTCCTTGTCGACCTTGGGTTTGTCAGCATCTGTAACCAGCAGCTGTGTGAGTGAAGAAAGCCTCTAGCTTAAATGGGCTGGGAGCAAGAGGCAGAGCTGAAGTCCAAGGTCGAGGGGCTTTCACCCAGCCCCTAGAGCCTGGCACTTTGAATTCGGACTTCTAGCCTCCAAAACTGTAAGAGAATAACTCCTGTTTACTAAAGCCATTGACCTGTGGTATTTTCTGTTAGAGCAGCATGAAGTAACCAAAGCAGGATATGATAATGAGAGAGTGGGGTGCTGCTCTGACAAATACCTAAAATACGGAAGCAGGACTGGAGTGCATCCTTGACCCAAGACCCTAGCAGAGAGATCCTGGCAGAGAGACCCTGGCAGAACCAAGGGATCAACATGAGAGATGGCAGCAGCAGAGCCAAGAGACCGGCATGAGACAGCGACAGCCTCACCAGCCCATGGAGCGAGAAAGCTGAGTGTCTTTTGGGCAGGAAGATTCCTCGCAGAGTGGGTTGCCTTCAGGCATTAATTGGTAGAAGTAGACAGACCAAGGAAACTGGAAGCAGAGCTGCCTCAGCCGTAAAGGGTAGGACCATGGCCTTTGGGGGTGGAACCACCACAGCCTTCTAGGTTTCAGAGTTGACAAGGGGATGGAATTGTGGTATTTATGGTTATGTGTCAACCTGAATGGACCTGGTTTTGAGTGGCTGGGCAGCTGGATGTAGTTTTTCCCCATGGTGAGCTTGGTAATCAACTCCTTGGTGGAATCTACTGGAGCAGCTGAGTAGCTGCCTTAGGGATGTAGTCTGCTTCTATTATATGAGAAGCAACTTTGAGGAAGGTCTCTAGCTTTTGGCATGCCTGAATACTGCATGTAGCTGAGTTATTGTTCAGTAGCCTGCCATGCTGTCTGCCAATCTTGGGACTGTTAATGAACTTGAATCAGTGGCCTGCCTTGTGATTTGGTTAATATTGGGACTGTACCTTTTTCCTTGTCGACCTTGGGTTTGTCAGCTTCAGCAGCCAGCAGCTGCCTGAATGAAGAAAGCCTCCAGCTTCAGTGGGCTGGGAGCAAGAGGCAGAGCTGAAGCCCAAGGTTAAGGGGCTTTTACCCAGCCCCTGGAGCCTGACACTTTGAATTCGGACTTCTAGCCTCCAAAACTGTAAGAGAATAAACTCTTGTTTGTTAAACCATCCACCTATGGTATTTTCTGTTAGAGCAGCAAGAAGCAACCAATGCAGGTAGTATTGGCATTTTCACAATGTTAAGTCTTCCAATCAATGAGCATGGTATGTTTTTCCATATATGTAGGTCTCTTTTGATTTGTTGCAGTAGTGTTTTGTAGTTTTCTCTGTAGAAGTCTTTCACATCCCTCGTTAAATCTTTTCCTAGATATTTTATCCTTTTGGGACTACAGTAAATGGTTTTATCTTTCTGATTTCCTTTTTGGAGTTCTCCTTGTTAGTGTAGAGGAATCCAGCTGAGACGTATATGTTGATCTTGTACTTTGACACTTTGCTAAAACCTTCTATTAGTTCAGTAACTTTCTTGTGAGGGCTCTGGAATTTTCTATGTATAGGATCATGTCATCTGCAAATAGGGATAGTTTTATTTCTTCCTTACCATTTTGGATGTCTTTTATTTCCTTTTTTTAAAAAATTTTTTATTGTGATTTGAGTGAAAGTTTCCAGAGCAAATTCATTTTCCATATAGCAGCTCACATACACTGACTCATGACATTGACTGCAATTTCCCACAATGCAACAGCTCCTCTCGCACTTCCTCCCCATAGTTACGTCTTCCCTGTGTCCTTCCCTCCCATGCACTCCTGCCCCCAGAGTTGTCTCCCTGTGCATACACAGCCCTTCTATTCTCTCACGATTGTTCTCTCCAAGGAGTGTATCTACCTAATGTAAATGTTCAGCTCATATGCCTGAGCATATGTCTTTTGTTTGGCTGGAAGCCACAGAAGTGTGTTCGATTCCAGACCTGGAGAGCAGCTAGCAGCCATTGTTTCAGTGGTTATATAAGGTTCTATTGGACAAGCAAACCTGGTCTTTTTTTTTTTTTTTTTTTTAATGATTTTGAGTTTTGTTCCACATTTTTCTCCCATTCTGTCCAGGCTCTATCCAGGATCTCCTACGTAGATTCCACTCTGAGTGGTTGACAGTGGTAGCTGGGCACCATCTAGTTCTTCTGGTCTCATAGTCATATAGGTTGAGGATTGCATGGTGTATTAGTCACTTGGACTAATTGTTTCCATGAGTCTTTGGTTTTCTTCATTCTTCTTTGCTCTGGATGAGGGGAGACACATTGTTGCATCTAGATGGCCGCTTGCAAGCTTTTAAGATCCCAGTTGCTACTTGCCAAAGTAGGATGTGGAACAATGTTTTATGTAGTATGTTATGCCAATTGAGCTTGATGTCCCCTGGGACTATGGTCCTGAGACCACAGGTCCAACTACTTGCTTCCTCTGGGTAGCTGGCTGTGGCCAAGAAGTGACCACCACATTGTCCCTTGTTAGCTTTACTATATACCTGTTATTTCCCTTTCTTGCTTTATTACTCTAGCTATGACTTCCAATACAAAACTGAGTAAGAGTGCTGGTAAAGGGCATCCTTGTCATGTTCTCATTCTCAAGGAAAATGCCTTAATCTCTCTTCATTGAGAATAATGCTGGCTGTTGATTCTGTATACTTGTCCTTAATTATGTTGAGAAATGTCCCTTCTGTTCCTGTTTTGCTGACTCTTTTACCTTATTTTTTATTGACTAGTTTTTGTTTTAATTGAACACATGATCTGTGATCTAATTGGAAAAAAAGAGAGAGAGAGATTCAGAGCAACAGAGTTGGTGTGTAGGATGCCCTGGAACGACTCCTCTGTGGTCTTGGCCCTGGGTCACTGACTCAGTGGTGACCTTCTGACTGTGGGATTTGAAGGGAGTGGAAAGTATAACACCCCACATCCCCGTGTGTTTGTGTGTGTGGGTATATACACACACTTGCTTCGTTTGTCCTCAGGCCTCTTTTACTTTTGGTCTTGGCGTGGGTGCTCACAGGGGTTTCCGGGGACTGAAAGTAGTCACGGCTTCGGTGGTGGGGAATGGCTGCAAGTCTGGACCTGGACCCCTGACCCAGAACGGATGAAACAAAACCTCAGCCCAGCACAGCCCGCAGCACAGCGCCTGGCACACCGGAGCTAGGCAGAATGTTGAGAGAAGGAAGGATCTCCTGTGCCCACCCTGTTCTCTCCTCACAGGAGGACCGGATCTTCCTTCCCTCTGCTTCCTCAGGTCCGCCAGCTCACCCACTGCCAGTTCTTCCCTTCTGCGATCCTATTTCCCAGCTCCTGACTCAGTCCACTGTGCCCCAGCCCAGACAGCCGAGGCTGCACGAAGATGGGCGCAGGGCTACAGCTCTTGTCTTCCTGATCTGCGCCCCTGCCGCAGAAACCCTTGGCCAGCCCAACCACTGGCGCCTCCTCGCGGGCTGCCGGAATAAACTGGGCCTCTCGAAGTCACGCCTAATCTGAGGGGTCCGCGGAAGCGCCTATCAGTTCCTCGTTCGCCCTCCAACAGCACCCCCACGTCCTGCACTAGGGCTCCTCGTGGGAATTACACTTGGGGGTCCGGTCAGCGGGGCCAGTAGAGAAGTCAGGGAGGCTGCGGCATCAGAGGCGTACGGGTGCCAACGTTGGTCTGCTCCACTACTTATGCAGTCGGATGACCTTGGACGAGTTAATTAACCTCTCCACGCATCGAAGTCCCGGTCTGAAAAATGGGATAGCGAACACAGAGCGCAAGCGTGCTGGGCAAACTCCTTCACCTAAGTGGACCTCTTCAAGGTGTCTGCTGGTGATTGTATATTATGTTAAATAGCGAAGGCGCTTCAGAGGCCCTTCTAGGGCCTCTGCTTCCTCTGGGGCCCTCTCTGCTGGGGATGTGTAGCTCCGGACATGTCCCATGTCCCGAGAGAGGCAGAGTTCGGGAGGCCAAGATCTTAGCGCTCAGCTGCGGAGGGGGACAAAGGGTGTGGGACAAACCCCAATTCTCCCCGCCCTAGCCAGAGCCTGGAAGCCGGCGGGCAACCGGGCCAGCTTCTCGCCACTTTCTTACCCCTCCTGGCTCCGCCTCGGCCCCGCCCTCCTCCAACCCGTATCCCTATTGGCGGCTTCCAGGCGGCGCGGCCGCTGTTATTTTTCGAATATATAAGGAGGTGGAGGTGGCAGCTGCAGTCTTAGGCTTCCTGGACTGGTGGCTGGTCCCTGGGTCCCTGCACCTCTCCCCACCCTCCCCGTCTCCCTCGCTCCCGGCCCCGTTGCTCTCCCCCCCTCCCTTCCTCTCCCCCCAGCCGGCTCCCTCCCTGGTCCTGGCCAGCTGTCTCCCAGCGTCTGTTGGCGTCCCTGCGCCCAGCTTTCCAACCAGCCTCCAGCGACCCCGTGGCAATGGAGCTACCCCAGCTAAAGCCCACGCTGAGCTTGATGAGTCTCAGTCCGACCAGCATGCGTGGTGGGGCCGAGCGTCCGGGCCACCTCCCAGGCCTTCGGCTGGGAGTTCTAGACCTCCTGGGGTCCCCAGAGCGCGCAGCCGCTTCCTCGCCGGTCACTACCCTCACCCAGACCATGCACGACCTCGCCGGGCTTGGCAGGTAGGGGGCCCTGAATGAAGCTGGGCGTGGGATGAAAGGCTCAGGCTGGGATGTGGTCTCAGGCCTCCTGGGGAACCTGGTTGGAAGCCGAATCCAAAAGGTGGGTGGGAATGTTGGGCATTGCAGCTCACATACTCCCGGTGACCCGCTCTTGGGCCCTCCTCCTCCCGCATTGTGCCCCCACCACGCTGTCTCCCTAATCTCTGTCCAAATCGCTACCATTTTGCCTCAGGCAAAGGATCCCGACCTTCCTAGGGAATTTAGGGTGGCAGCGCACTCCCGGTCGTCCCATTTCCTTGGTCCTGTTCCCCACCCCCACCCCATCCCAATTGAATTAAAGGCCAGTCCTGCTCTGTGAGGAAGCCTGTCAGGTTCAGGCTGCGTTGCCCCGCTGGCAATAGAGACGCAGGTCTTGACCCTTTCCCCGGAAAGGCACGTGGATGGGTGGTGCCCTGGAGAGTTTAGGGAAGGCCTTAAGGCACTCTAGTGGCACAGTGATTAAAACATTTGGCTCTTAACCAAAAGGATGATGGGAGAAAGGTGAGGCAGTCTGCTTCTGTAAAGATTTGCAGCTTGGGAAACCCTATGGGGCAGTGCTACTCTGTCCTATATGATTACTTAATTAATCAACTCCATAGCTGTGGGTTTGGCTGCTGCTGCTTTTTTATTTTCCCCTTAGGGCCTTTGCTCCTCTACTGCCACTCATTCCCCAGGCTGACCCCTCCCCCCAAGCCTTCTTGCTCTAGGCCTGGCCTCACCTCCCCCTGTACCCAGGAGGACCCTTCCTAAGCCAACCACACAAAGAGAAGAAATTTAGGGCCACTGTAGGATGAGCCTGCCTTGGTCTGGGAAGAAAGTAGGCTACCCTTGATATGCCTACTTACTTGGTATAGTGTCCTATTCAGGCCTTGCCTTGGGGAGGGGGCTGCCTCCTTGGGACAGTGCAGAGATTAATGGGCCCTAAGGGGAGGGGTGCTGGAACACAGGCAGCCAGCCCCCGAGCCCCACATTTACCTTGTTTCTTCTCTGGGTCTCTGCTGCTTTCCCAGCGAAACCCCAAAGAGTCAGGTAGGGAACCTGCTCCTCCGCAGCCGCAGCCGGCTGTCATGCCTATCCTTGTCCCGGCGGGCGTCCGAGTCCTCCCTGTCGTCTGAGTCTTCTGAAGCTTCTGATGCAGGTGAGGTCTAGGGAGGTCCTTCAGTGCCCTGAGAGTTTGGGGGGGCTGCCTGAGCCTCCCAACCGCCCTGCTCATCAGAGTAACATCTTTCCCACCACCTGGTGGACCCCGGAGCCTCCCTTCCTACCCACTCATCTGGCAGGAAGACACACCTCTGGTAGCGCTCACCACACCCAGACAGGCTGACCAGGAGGGTGGGGCCCTAAGCAGGAGTTGAGATCTCAAACCAGGAGCCAAGAGCCCTGAACCACAGCCCCACCTAGGAGGCACCCTGGGCTGTAAGCTGGTCTTTGTATAACCTTCTCTTCCCTTGAGCTATAGCTTTTTCCTTTAAAGGTTATCATCTCTTCTGCAAACAATTTTAAATCTGTTCAAGAAAAATGCTTAGCAAAGATTGTGGTTTAAAAACAGAGAGATTTTCATAATAAACAGGCAAAGGGGCCCCATGCAGTTGGAGGACAATATATCAGCCCTTGGGTGGCTTTCTGTTTCATTTTTTAATGTGTGAAGATCTTAAATAGAAACGGATTTTTTATTTTTGTTTTTCCTTCTTTGAGTAGGGTTGAGAATGTGGTAGGGAAAGTGTGTGGGAAATGCCACTACTTTCAAACCAAAGTGTTATGTTCCCAGGTCTCTACTTGGACTCCCCCAGCCCCATGGACCCCCAGATGGCAGAACAGACGTGAGTAGAGGAGACCCCACACCAAGGAGTCAGAGCCTGCCTTTGAGAATCCCAGTTCTAGCATAGATTCAACTGGGGATGCCTAGGGAACTGGACAGATTCCACAGGACCCACATATGGGGGAATTCATGGACCTTCTCAGGTTCCAGGATTCTGCCCCCATCTCACAGAAAGGTCTATGCTCTGGGAATGGGCTAGGGCCAAGGGTAGTGGGGATGGTGCCTGCTAGGAGTCATCAATGGGGCATGTGGGAGCCTGGGCCCAGTGCCCAGCCCCATCTTTCTTTATGTCTATACAGATTATTTCTATGAAATGTCATAATTTTAAAATGTGGCCCAACTAATTCCATTTTGTTAACTTGCTCTAGGCCAAACAAAGCAGTTACCTACAGGCAGGTTAGGCCCTTGGTCATCAGCAATATCTGGCTTCAGTGACTCTTGGCCCTCTGGCCAACCCTGGACCAGGCCCATTGTGAGAGAGAGTGGGGAGAGCTGCTGGCGCTCTTCTTGAACAGCTCCCCCCACCCCTTTGGTGATGGAGCATGGGTAGTACCTTCCAAAGTCCAGCTTTCTGTCCAGCTTTTAGGGCTCAAGCAGGAGGGAACAGCTGCCAGGATTAGTGGGGACAGCTGGGCATCCCCAGGCTGAGCTGAGGAACTATGGCTTTGAGTTTAGGGCAGTGGCTGACTGTCCTCCATTGCCTTTTATCAGACTGGGCTGGGCTGCAGGGTTGGTTCACAAACAGGAAACAGAGTTGGTTGGGTGTGGGGGGTGGGGGAAGAAGCTGTAGGTTAGGTTTTGGTGGCAGCACAGTCAAAGCTGAACCTGCTTTATCCCCAAGACCAAGGTGCTGATTGGCAACCAAACAAATGAAACTGAAGATCTCTGATGCAGGGCTGCTGGGTGGAGCCTCCACCTCGGGGGGCCATCCCTCTAACTTGCTTTAGCACCCCCTCCAGTGTCTCCCTCCCTCATTTCTGCACCTGCTTTGACGGTTACACAAAGTTTCTAAGAAGCTGTTGTATATGTGTGCGTGCATGCACATAGATGCACAAAAGCCCAGCATGGCAGGTGGTCTCTGGTAACATAGCTGGGGAGGCGGGGCCCATGTACAGAAAGCTTATGCCCTATCCTCAAAAGGAACATCTGTTGGAATTCCTCATCTCTTGTAAGGCAGGAGGAAGGGGTGGGACAGAGGCTGGGTTCTGGAAAATTCCATAGGAGGGAGAAGAGGATATGACCCAGTGCATTTATCACTAGGGGCTCTGGCCTGGCAGTTTGGGACTGATCTAGGGCAACATGAAACTAGGCCTCTGTCCTGGGGAGGTGGAGTGGCAGTTAGGCCAAAGGGATGGATGGAAGTGCAGCCTTACTGGCATCCAGACCCTAGAGACTCTGGCATTGTTGTGTGCCAAGGCCTGTCATCTGTGGGATGGATGGATGCCTTTCCTGGCAGCCATATGGCCCCACTGAGGTGATTTGCATACAGGTGGAAGGCCTTCAGGCAAGCTGGAGAGACTGTTGCCTTGGTGACACCTCATTGACCCTGCGACCTGCCCCAGCTGTCTCTACTACAGCCATTATCTGCACCCTCTTCTATTTAGGGTGGCTTTCAACTCCTAGGCTGCCTCTCATCTTCCCTCCCCAATGCCTGGCTCTGTTGGGAGTCAGCATTCTTTGTACCTCCTGTTTTCACTGCCCCTTACCCTCATCCTTGCCCTCAGGCCTTATAATCTGCAACTTGATGCTGGGGTGGGGGGGCTGCAGGGGAAGATGGGCTGCATGGGACCCCCCCTCTTTCCCCTAGGTTTGAGCAGGCTATCCAGGCAGCCAGCCAAGTCATTAGAAAGTGAGTGTTCCCAGGCTTTCCTCACTCAAGGTTTGGTAGCATGGGGTGGGGGGCATACAGGGTACCCTAGTTCCTGGCCCCCCCTCTCCCAGCCCTGACCTATCCCCGTTTCGGTTTGCAGTGAGCGCTTCTCCATCAGACGCATCCAGTCCATGCCAGTGAGTGTTCTCTGAAGTCAGGGACAGGGGGCGGGCAGGAAAGAAGGCTGCACAGGAGGATTCTGAGGCCTGAGGCATTGGGCCTGTGCCCGTGGGTCTGATTACCCCATCTTTGCTGATCTGACCCCAGGACAATGATGAAGTTCCCCCCAGGTCACCTCCCAGAGGGTAGACTTGAAGTGGCCAAGTGGGAGATGGGGGTCCAGAGGCAGATGGACACACTGAGGAGGGGAGGGAGAAGGCAGAACCTGGGCTGGCACCAGAGAATCCAGCCTCAGTAGCTGCCCACCTTGCTGTCTAGGTGAGGCCTCTGGGCCACAGTCCTGTGCTCCGGAACATCACCAACACCCAAGCACCGGACAGCTGGAGGAGGAGTGAGGCGGGCAACAGAGCTGCCAGCAGCTCTAGGAAAGACAAGGAGAATGTGAGTCTCTGGAAAGCCAGGAAGGGAGAACTCCAGGGACAGAAGGGGGAGCATTGAGGTGGCTCTGTGGCATTTGATGACTGTGTCACACACACACACACATACACACACCCAATCTTGCCCATAGGATGGATTTGTCTTCAAGATGCCATGGAAGCCAGCACTTCCGAGCCACGCCCAGGCTATGGCTGAGTGGGCCAGCCGCAGAGAAGCCTTTGCTCAGAGGCCAAACTCAGCCCCTGACCTGATGGTAAGTAGGTCAAGAGGACTGACTCCTTGCAGCCTGGGGAAGGGGAGGGTGATCCTCAGCTCCAAGGGGTTGAAGTGCAGGCAGTTGGGAACCTTTCCTTAGAAGGATGAGGATGGGCGTGGCAGCCCTGAGTGGGCTACGTCTGCTTTATCACTGAACAGTGCCTCAGCCCTGAACGGAAGATGGAAGTGGAAGAGCTGAGCCCCCTGCTCCGACGCCGTTCCTCTTTGACCCCCATGGAAGGGGCTGCTGAGGAAGACGATGGATTTGTGGACATCCTAGAGAGTGACCTAAAGGTAACAGATCTGGCTCTCCCTCCCTGGGATCTCCTGAAAGGAGAGTGCTGAGCTTCTACAGTAAGACTATGACCTCATCCCAATGTCAGAAGAAGAACTTGCGGTAACTAAGTTGCAGCCTGATCTGGCCAATCAGAGAAGAGCAGGTGACTGGTACTGAAATGGAGGGAGGGTAGGCAGGGTGGAGGAAAGGCCTAGGCCCCCTTCACGGTCCCCCTCATGCTCTGTGCAAGCCCCAGCAGCAAGTTGTTTCCCACAGCTTCAAAGTTACAGGGGTCTGCCCTGTGTGGAGGTTAGCAGGGGCAGGAAGGCCTGCCAGGGCCGGGGTTGTTGGGGGACAGAGAAACTGGACAGGAGGGTTTGGGGGCTTGAGGGGTCTGGCCTGTGCCTGTGGGTCTGACCAGCACATCTTTGCTGATTTGGTCCCAGGACGATGATGAGGTCCCCCCAGGCATGGAGAGCCTCATTAGTGCCCCACTCGTCAAGACCTCGGAAAAGGAAGAGCAGCAGGTAGTCCTCTGGGGTGGCCCCCTCAGATTTTAGAGGGCTGGGATTAGGGGGGACCGGGCACTCTGACCCCTGCCCTGCTGCCTCCAGGACCTCGTCATATACAGCAAATGCCAGCGGCTCTTCCGCTCTCCATCCATGCCCTGCAGCGCCATCCGGCCCATCCTCAAGAGGCTGGAGCGGCCACAGGACAGGGACATGCCCATCCATAGCAAGCGGAGGAGGAGTGTGACCCCGCCAGAAGAGCAGCAGGAGCCCGAGGAACCAGTGAGTGCTTCCTCTTGATGGCTGTGGGTGGCCTGTGATGGGGTGGGGCTGTCACTGCCCACCTTGAGGGTACACCTGGGCTGCCACCTTCCAGCTCCACTCTACTAAGCCCTCCTTGGACAGGTTTGCCACAGAGGGTGGGGCATGGGCAGTGGCCTGGGCATGGCAGGCAGGGACTGGGGCATGAGCCTCACCCCTGACTCTGGCCCCCATCTGCCTTGCCTCCCAGAAAGCCCGTGTCCTCCGCTCGAAGTCCCTGTGTCATGACGAGATCGAGAACATCCTGGACAGTGACCACCGTGAGCTGATCGGGGACTACTCTAAGGTACCAGCTGCCAGGGCCCATTAGGAGGCTCAACCCTTCCGACTGTGGACCCCCAGCCCAGGGAAAACACGGGCCCTGCCCTCTCTCCCGAGGGGGCCCTTTTCTCTGTCCTTTGGATCTTTTCATCCTCACCCTCATGTAGCCTCCTCTCTCTAGCTCTGCTTAGTCTCCTGAGTCAACCTCAGATCTGACTGTCCCTGACTGGGTTTCAATCTTGGAAGACATTTCCAAACTAATGTCTAGTTTGGAACTAGGGAGGAGTGCCCTCAGACTGGCTGCCTCTTCTATGCCCCTTCTTCCTTCCTCCTTGGAGGGTTGTTTCCTGAGCATCAGACTCAAGAGGTACCTTTCAGTTGCTACAGGAATCAGAGTTGAATTTGAAGGCAAAGTAGGTGTGGCCTTTGGGCTTCAGGAATGAAATTCCATCCTTTGCAGACTGCTAGTCCTACCAATTTCACTTCCTCTTCTCTCTCTCATTTTCACTCCTTCCCTTCAGGCCTTCCTCCTACAGACTGTGGATGGAAAACACCAAGACCTCAAGTACATCTCACCAGAAACAGTAAGCAAGGATCCACAAGCAGGGCACCACTGTTTAGCTGTTAACCCTCCCCGAGGGCTGTGTGTACTAGGTCAGTAATAGGCTGGGAGTCAGCCCCTGGCTGCCAGCCCGACTCCTGAGACCTACTCCTGTGGTCACTTCCAGATGGTAGCTCTGCTGACAGGCAAGTTTAGCAGCATTGTGGAGAAGTTCGTAATTGTGGACTGCAGATACCCCTATGAGTATGAAGGCGGGCACATCAAGGTGAGGGGGGATGACAGGGAGAGGCCCTGTAAATCTCACCATGATCAAGTACTTCCTCTGAAGAGAGGGTGAATTGTCGGGGGGTGGGATCCTGCCCAGGGTCCCCATGGGGATGTGGTCACCCAGGGATGCAAAGGGAAGGGGTCTGCTTCCTGGGCCCTGGCTGTGGCCTAACAGCTGACTCCCCTGCAGACAGCTGTAAACCTCCCCCTGGAACGGGATGCCGAGACCTTCCTGCTGCGGAGCCCCATAACAGCCTGTAGTGTGGACAAGAGAATCATCCTCATCTTCCACTGTGAATTCTCATCTGAGCGCGGGCCCCGGATGTGAGTCCCAGCTCTGCCCTCCCAGCTACTGGCTGCCCCTTGACTTTCTCAGCTCAGCCTTCTGTGTGCTTAAAGCCCTTGGGATGGCCAAGAGCCCAGCCTCTCCACAGCCTGGGCCTCATGCATCATCTGCTGGCCTGAGATGACCTCTCCTCCTACCTCCTGTCCCTCTTGATATACATTACCTTACCCAGTGCCCTCCTCTCATCTCCTTCTCACCATCCTTCTCCTCAAGACTTACTTCTACTCTGTCTATTGCTGGTTCCAAATCTCCAACAGCGTCCTTCTCAAAATCCAAGGGCTCTGTCCCAGTCCTCAGTGACACTGACTCTCCCTAGAGTTCAGTGCGGTTAACTGCTCCGCTGGAACTCTTCCAAGCCCCCTCTCCTTTCTTGTTTCTGTTCATTCTTAGATGCCCTGACCTGGGCCTGCTCTCCTACCCTCCACCTGGGGTGTCCCACCTGGTCCATCCAATTGCGAGTCACAATCTACACCTCGATGCTCTTTACAGACTTCTAGAGCCAGGCTCCTTATTGCCGCTGTTTCCCTTGTCCTTCTGGGTCCCCGGCCTCTGCATACACATGGTACCACCTCCATCCTGAGCCTGGGACTAGCCACTGGGCACAGATATCAGGTCCTTCTTCCTCCTTCCTTTCCTCTCCCCACTTCTTGTCATCACCAAGTCTTGTCCAAGAGGCTTCCTAAATGTATCTCTTAGATTTTGTCTACTTCTCTCCATTCTTGTTGTCTCCTTCCTGGTCCAGGCCACACCTACTTCTAACCAAGATGGCACATTACCTTCTAGGAACAGAGAGGCCTCTTGATTCACCTCCCCATGCTATTCTGTACCCAGGAGCCAGACTGGTTTTGCAAAACTGTTCTTCGGGCTGCCATTTCTGTACTTAGGAGACCTTTGGGGTTCCCCAGGGCTACCAGGGGAGTGGACACAGGGAGCAGTCCCCTGATGTGCCCCCACTGTACACCCAGCTCTGACCCTCCCTCCCCCATGCTGGTCCAGGTGCCGATTCATCCGGGAACGAGACCGTGCTGCTAACGACTATCCCAGTCTCTATTATCCCGAGATGTATATCCTCAAAGGAGGCTACAAGGAGTTCTTCCCACAGCACCCGGTACTGTGGCTGGGAGTGGCCTCAGTCTCAATGGGAGGGCTTAACCACAGGGAAGGGACTCAGGCTGTCACCCTGAGAGGAGGAGAAGGGGGGACCGGGTTGCTCTCTTATTCCCAGTGTTGGCTGACCCCCCATCCTGCCCTAGACCTTCTGTGAGCCCCAGGACTACCGGCCCATGAACCATGAGGCCTTCAAAGATGATCTGAAGACCTTCCGCCTCAAGACTCGCAGCTGGGCTGGGGAGCGAAGCCGACGGGAGCTCTGTAGTCGGTTGCAGGACCAGTAAGGGCTTGCCTGCCTGACTACCTGCCTCATTTCTACTGGTCTGGGAGCCACCAGTGGGCCTGTGGGGTTGAGAGCAGGCTGGAGGTCCCAGGTGTCATCCAGGGGAAGAACTGTGAGGGCATCATGTCTGCCCCCAGTCCTACCCCCCTCACTCCAGCCCCTGTAGAAGAGCCCAACCTGCTGGGTTAAGTTGGGTTAAACCAGTTCAAAGGAAGTATTTTGTGTCCAACAGGAGCCTCTTGGCTTGTTTTCTTCCTACTTTGAATTAACCCTTTGTCTTCCTGTGTTCAGAAAAGTCCCCTTCTTTCTAGGGGCTTTGTTTGTATGTTAACTGAGGCTGGGGAAACCAAGACCCCCCACTCCCCAGGACAGGGCAGAGCTGAACTCTCTGCCCTCCCCTGGGAGTCAGCACTCCAGCCGCACTTATGGGCAAGGCCCCGTCCTTCCTCCTCAGGAATTGTGGGCTCTTTATGCTGTGTTTTCCCTTTTCTCTTTTCCTCCTTCCTCTCCCTACACACACACCTACAGCATAAATTTAAGCTCTTACTGTCTCCTGTTTCAGTGTTACCTAAACACTTGATTTTGTTTGTCTTACTTTTTTTTTTCTTCTGGTCTGCCTCAGGCTGAGGTTTAGGCTCCCCCTAGCCAGCTGGGGTTAGAGACACAAATATTAATGACCCAGCTAGCTCCACTTTCTATTGCCTCTGAAAAGGATGTTACTATCCTAGGGGGACATCCCAGGTGAGGGCTAAGGCCTGAATCTTGAGCCAGCTGAAAGCCCAGCCCCCACTGCTGTGAACCCAGGGACCAGCTGGTCAAAACTTGCTGCTGTCTTGCCATGGATGGAGGGCTGGAGGGATGAGTGGATGAGCAATGCCTGACACACATGTGCACACAAACCAGCTGGGTGCAAGCACTTAGGTGAGCATGACAGCCTGTGGCAGGAGGATGTGTGTGTGTGTCTGTGTGGGTAAAAGTCTAAAGTTTGGAAGTATTCAAGAGGAAATGTTATGGAAGGAGTTAAACCAAGGATGGAACAGCCTCTGGATTCTGAATCTCAAGATGTGGAAAGGACTGCTTTTGAATGCCCTAATACAAGTCATCTGTTAGGGCCTTGATTCAATAAAGCACTGACCAAGTTGAGTTGCCAGCACCATGTTCTGTGGGAGCAGGGAATAGCAGCCCCACTGGGTGCCCAGGTGGGGCCCCTTGACAAGACCACAACAGACCCTGTTGGTGGAATAGGGGTGGAAGACTTCTTGGGGAGGTGGTTTTATGGTCCCTCCTGCCCTTCCCCTGAAGTCCTTCTCCATCTCTTGAGTGAAACTCCTTGGATGGGTCTTTGGATTTAGCCTCCCCCTTCTCCTACCTTCCATTCACCTGTCTACCCAAGCACCTCTGGGCTCATCCTTCCTATACTCTGCACCAAGAAGGCAAGAGTAACCCATCACTCCTTTCCTCAAGAATTGTCAATGGTTCCCCATTGCCTTCAGGATAAAGTTAAGACTCCTGGTACAGCATCCAAGGAATCCTTTTAGGATCTGGGCCCTCCCCAGCCTCATCCCCCACCTCTTGCTGAATCAAATCCCCCAACCTTGCTCTTCACATTTCCTTGCAGAATGTATCTGCCGTACCATTCACAAGAGCGCATTTACCCCCATCTCTTACTCCTCTGAGATTCAGTTTCAAATGTCACTTAGCAGAAGCCTCCCTATCCTATCAGGGCAATAGCTTTCCTCTCAGTATTCCCAGCACCCATCAGAGGCTCTGGCAGAGTTCAAGATCAAGTGAACGGGAAAGGGGCAAACTGAGAGAACGCTTCATGGGCACAAACTCAGGCATCTAAGGAAATCTCATCAGCTGTCTGTGACTATAAGTGGAATCGTTTGCATACAAAGTGCACATACAGACATCATGACTACTTTGACTCAAAATACATCTACATTCTGAAATAGGTGGGATGATGATTATCCACCCCATGTTGCAGATGGAAAAATGAGACTATTTCCTACTAGAGCAACATTGGGCACTCTGGTTTCCCAGGCTGAGTCTAAAGTACTGTTGCCTTGTGCAGTACAGTGAATTACTTAGTATGGTCCTTCTAGCCATAGTCTTTGTAACTCCTGCCAAATGACTGGGCAGGACTATATGCATATGTGAGGACCCTGTGGCCCATCAAGGGGATTGGATACCTTGCTAATACTATAAATAAGGTGCATGACACACTTGTGGGGGTTGTTGTTAGGTGCTGTTGAGTCAGCTCTGAGAACAAAACACTTCTCAGTCTTGTGCCATCCTCACAATCCTTGCTATGTTTGAGTGCATCATTGCAGCCACTCTGTCAATCCATCTCACTGAGGGTCTTCCCCTTCTTCGCTGTCCTGCTCTTTACCAAGGATGATATCCTTTTCCAGGGAATAGTTCCTTTTGACAACATGACCAAAGTAGGTGAGACGAAGTCTGGCCATTTTGGCTTCCTAGGAGCATTCTGGCTGCATGGGGGTGGGGCTAGGCAAATGGAACCCTAACAAGAGGATTAGTCAGTTTTGCCATCCCACTAGGCTTAAAATGAGCCATTCCAGAGGCTGAACTACTACCAACAAGAGACAGGAGCAGAGCACCCAGGGTCTCTGCAGAGAACTCCCTTGGCCCAAATGGCAGCTGTAGTGATCCTCCTCCCTTCTACCACCACTCGTCTGTCAGTTTGTTGTACTGTTGTGGCTTATGTGCTGCTGTGAGGCCAGAGGCTATCTAATGATGTTCCAAATACCAGTAGGGTCACCCATAGTGGACAGGTTTCAGCAGAGCTTCCAGACTAAGATGGACTCGGAAGGAAGGGACTATCCACTTCTTAATGAATTGGCCAGTGAAAACCTTATGAACAGCAGTGAAACACTGTCTGATATACTATGGAAAATTTTATGAATAGCCCTGAAACACTATCCAATATAGTGCCAGAAGATGAGCCCCTCAGGTCAGAAGGTACTCAAAATGTGACTGAAGAGCTGCCTCCTCAAAATAGAGTTGGCCTTAATGATGTAGATGGAATAAAGCTTTCAGGACCTCCATTTGCTGATGTGCCATGACTCAAAATGAGAAGAAACAGCTGAAAACATCCATTAATAATTGGAACATGGAATGTAAGAAGTTTGAACCTAGGAAAATTGGAAGTTGTCAAAGATTAAATGGAATGCATAAAGACCAATATCCTTGGCATTAGCGAACTGAAATGGACTGGTATTGGGCATACTGAATCAGACAACCATAAGCTCTACTATGCTGGGAATGACAAACTGAAGAGGAATGGCGTGGCATTCATCATCACAAAGAATGTTTCAAGATCTATCCTGAAGCACAATGCTGTGATTGATAGGATAATATCCATACACCTACAAGGAAGACCAGTTAATATTACTATATTCATTGTTCCACCTCCTACTTTGGCGAGCAGCGACTGGGATCTTAAAAGCTAGCAAGCTGCCATCTAGATGCAATGATGGGTCTCTCCTCATCCAGAGCAAAGAAGAATGAAGAAAACCAAAAATTCACAGAAACAATTAGTCCTAGCAACTGGTACACCATCCAATCTGCAGCCTATATGACTACGAGACCAGAAGAACTAGATGGTGCCCAGCTACCATTGTCATCACCTTGGAAGGGGATCTATGTAGGAGATCCTTGATAGAGAGGGAGAACAATGTGGAACTAAACTCAAAATAATTTGGAGAAAAAAAAAGGGGGGGGGGGTCCAGGTTTGCTGGTCTGATAGAGCCTAGAGCAACCACTGAGACTATGGCCCTGAGCTGCCCTTCAGGTCTGGAATTGAACCCACACCTGTGGTTTCCAGCCAAACAAAAGACAGGCATATGAGTTAAACATTTATCTCAGGTAGATACACTCCTTGGAGAGAACAATCATGGGAGAAAGAAGGGCTGTTTATGCACAGGGAGACAGCTCAGGGGGCAGGAGTGCATGGAGGGATGGACACTGGGAAGAGTTAACTATGGGGAGGAAGTGGGAAGGAAGCTGTTGCATTGTGGTAAACTATGGTCAATGTCATGAGACAAAGTGTATGTGAACTGCTGTATGCAAAGTGAATTTGCTCTGTAAATCTTCCCCCAAATCACTCACACACACACAAATCCTCACAATTGGACCAATAAGCAGCCTCATCATAAATGGAGAAAAGATTGAAGTTGTTAAAGATTTCATATGACTTGGTTCCACGATCAGCCCCAAGGGAAGCAGCAGTCAAGAAATCAGATGACCTACTGCACTAGGCAAATCTGAAAAGGGCTTTTTTTTTTTTTTTTTTTTAAACTGCCGAAGGGCAAAGATGTCTCTTTGAAGACTAAGATATGCCTAACCCAAGCCAAGAAGCTCTGGTAGCGTAGTGCTTAAGGCACTTGACTGCTAACCAGAAGGCAGTGATACTGCCTCAGGGCCGACTCGACAGCACATAACAACAAACAGCAACAACAACCCAAGCTATGGTATTTTTCAGTTCCCTCATATGCATGTGAAAGCTGAACAAGGAATAAGGAAGACCAAAGAAGAGTCAATGTTTTTGAATTGTGGTGTTGGTGAAGAATACTGAAAGTACCATGGGCTGCCAGAAGAAGGAACAAATCTGTCCTGGAAGTGCAGCCCGAAAGCTCCTTGAAAGCGAGAATGGCCAGACTTTGTCTCGCCTACGTTGGGCATGTTGTCAGAAGGGACCGTTCCCTGGAGAAGCATATCATGCTTAGTAAAGTGGAGGGTCAGCATAAAAGGGGAAGGTCCTTAATGAGATGGATCAACACAGCAGTTGCAACAACGTGCCCAGGTATAGCAAGGATTGTGAGCCTGACGCAGGACTGGGCAGTGTTTCATTCTGTTGTACATAGGGTCACTATGCGTCGAAGACGACTCGACGGCACCTAACAACAACTTAACTAACTTCCTTGTGAATTTAGAGATCAGTCAAACACAGCTACACACCATTCTTAGACTTGGCTTCAGTTTATCCTTCAAGTCTTTTATTCCCTAAGGCTAGGTCTTTACTCATACTCCAAAAGTATATGTGTGTGGGGTGTTACAGTGCACTCTGATGGTCTGGGACGTTGGG